AGTTTTACAAATAACGGAAAAAACAAATATAGACCTTATTTAGAAACATGTTGTATTTACAGATACTTATTAAATTTAAGTAATAAAGCTTTTTAGAAATTTTTATCGGACATTTTTCCTCGAAAATTGTCGAAAATGAGCCCTCCTACATTGAACAACTTTTCGATGTCTCGCAACACCTTTATGACATGGTTAACTTCAAAATAATCGAATTAAAAGTTAATAATTAGCGATAAAATGTAACTAAGTTAAGTTAAAAGTTAAAAGTGTAAAAATGTAACTAAGTTAAGTTAAAGTTAAGCGAGCAGTTTGTTACCACAACTGCTCGCTGAGCACTCAGTGAACTCTTGCATCCGATTGGTAAATATTTTTAGATTTAAAGGAATATGTCAATTAAAGGAACATATCAATCAGATGCAAGAGTTCACTGAATGCTCAGTTAGAGGAATGCTTGTAGTACCAGATGTACTTATTGTTATTTATGGTGTTGTTATCATTTATCGTTATCTATTGTATTGTATTGTATTGTTATTATTTATTAAGATTGGAGTCTTTGCCCACATTATATTATTAAAAATAAAAATCCGAATAGGATAAGCTTCAAAGTGGCTCAAATGAAGCATGTAGTACATATAGAGGTCATGCATTTAGCAAAATTTAATGAGAAAATGACAGTATTGAATGGAAAGACTACTAAGGGTGCGTTCATCTTGGACATTTTTTCGCTAATAGCGTTCACAAGCGTCGTTTTCGTCGTTCGTCTTGGCGCTTTGAAGCGTTACAGAGAGGCCATGACGTCACAATTTCATGGCGAAAATGTCATCAATTTACGCTACTATTCACTATCTCGAAATAGGTAAGTCTTCAATAGCGTAAGTACTACTAGACGAACACAAAGTATAGCAAAACTTAACCTAAATGTAGAAAAAATAAAAAGAATATAATTCAAGGTGAAAGTAGAGATTACTCCAACATCACAAAGAAAGAAAATAAAAAGGAGCCAAATATACAAAAACAAAATGGATTGTATTATAATATTTTTTTTCACATATATTGTTTATTAAAGCCATTTCTTCTTCACCTTCATCATTTTCCTCTAATGAGGATGAAAATATTATTGTGTACAATTCTTGCATTGCATATATCAGCAATTATTTATTTTCTTTTAACGCGTTCGTCTTGAGACTAACGTTTCCTCGCTATAGCCAAGATGAACGAACGAAAATGCTGTAAGCGTTAACGCTATAAGCGAAAAAGTATACAAGACAAACGCATCCTAAAAGACTCATTGAATTTAAAAACATCGAGAATCGATCATCGAAAGACAATCGATCCTTTAACAGAATCGAATGTCGATTCTGCTTCCTTCTGCTTTTGTTCGTGGCGCCACTAATACAGCTGTTATGAATGAGGTTATGTAGCACATGGTATACGATCAACAGATATTGTTGAGACAATAGTGATTTTTTCAGTGAATATAAAAAGGGTAAATCATACAATAATCAAGACTCTTATTTATACTTTGTTATTTAATTTACTTATATTTTCGTCAAATCTTCATACATCATGTACGAATATATATCTGTAAATATTTTTACAGATCACACAATTAGCCTTAAAATGTCCTCGTGGAAGAAAGCTGGAAAGGTAGGCCAGAAAACTCACCGGGAACGTCATCAACCAGAAGCCCGCAGACACCTGGGCTTGTTGGAAAAGAAGAAGGACTATGTCGCCAGAGCTAAGGATTTCCAGGAGAAGCAGGCGACGATCAAGCTTCTGCGGAAGCGTGCACTCAACAAAAATCCGGATGAGTTCCATTTTCATATGATCAATTCCAAATTGGAGAATGGCGTACACAAAGAAAAGAAGCAGGCAGAACACACACCCGAGCAAATCAAGCTAATGGAGACACAGGATATCAAATATATAGCATATAGAAAACATCTTGAGTCAAGGAAGATAAACAAGTTACAGAGCGAATTACACATGATCGACACAGCTAATGAGACGAAGAATCAACACATCTTCTTCGTAGATAACAATGAGGAGATGAAGAATTTCGACCTAGCTAAGAAATTGGACACTCATCCTGCATTGCTATCCAGACGAATCAATCGACCAAGAATGAGCCAGCTGAGCAAGATGAAGCTGCCAGAATTAGATGAGAAGGCTATGGCCAAACTCCAGCAGAAGAATCACATGTCTTATACAGAACTCGCCAAGAGGCTCGATAGAGAACGCGAATTAACGATCGTGCAACAAAAATTGGAAATGCGTACTGCACTGAAGGACCAAAAGATCACAAAGCCAAAATGTATAAAGCCTGGTACAAAGGTTTCTGCTCCTATCTATAAATGGAAATATGAGAGAAAACGATGACTTATGTAAGTGTACGTACATATATATATATGTGTTTGTATTTCATAATTTTTTATTACCATTATTAAATATCACAAAAAAGTGTACATATATGTTACTTTTATTATAAATATCAAAGTATATATTTATTCATACGTTATTCTCTAATAATGTATTATTCCTCATCCCCTTTCTTATTAACAAATATTGTGTATATGGTAATGAACATAATAATAAACATGTGACTCATTAGGAAACATGTAGTTTCACATGTATTGTTTAGAATTATCAAATTATTATAAATTTTGACAGCTGAGTTTAGAGTTTAATGTTCAAGAAGATGAAGAAGAAAGAAAGGAAAAGAAAAATCTGCTTGGATTATATTCCAAGGATAATCGATTATACTTAATCAATACTTATGATTTAAAACAAGATTGTCAACTAGGTCTTACCTATTGAAAAAACTTACTATTACCATTACTAATCTTAAAATATTACTCATTACCGTTATTGGCATTAAATAATTAATGATTTATTATAAGATATATTAAATTAGTAGTTTTCATCAAGTTTCAAAAAATCTTTTCTTAACAGTTTGTCTACAGATACATTTATTTTACACATTCACAAATAAATCTTAAGGGTTTCAATTATATTTGTTACTATTATCCAAAAAATATAATTTTGCTACTTTGTTACAGTTACATTTAAGAAAAATAATGTCCTTATTAAATAGTTATAGACAAAAAGTAACTTCTAATCTTAAGAGAGTACACATCAAGATTACTCATTATTTATTAAACAAATTTACTGTTACCATCTTGAAAAATTACTTATTACCTGTTAATCTTGAAAAATTACTTATTACCGTTATTGGTATTAAATATATAATTAATTATTGCAAGAAGTACTGAGTTACTACTATTTTCATTAAGTTTTAAGATTCTTTTCTTGATTATTTGATATCGCTTGTCTCAGATATATTTATTCTACATTCACAAATCAATCATAAAAGTTTTAATTATATTATTACTATTATCTAAAAAATGTAATTCTGCTACTGTTACAGTTATATTTAAGAAAGTTAATATGTTTATTAAATAGTTACAAAAACAAAAAGTAACTTCTAATCTTAAGAGTATTATATACTAAGGTTACTCATTTTCTATTGAAAAAACTGACTACCATTACTAATCTTTAGAAATTATTCATTGCAATTATTCTCATTCATAATGTAATGAGTTGTTACAAGAAGTACTGAGCTAGTACTATTTTCATTAAGTTTTGAAGATCCTTTTCTTGACAGTTTTGTCACTCATGTATATGCATTCTACATATATTCACAAACTGACCATAAAAGTTTCAATTATATTTGTTATTACTATTCAAGAAATGTAACTCTGCTGTTGATATAGTTACATTTAGAAAGGTTAATATTCTTAGTAAATAATTACAGACAAAATGTAACTTATAATCATAACAGTATTATGTAATGCTTATTTCCCAAATCTAATATATGAGATTAATTTGTTTAAATGATAATAATATGATAATAATATAATAGTATATAAATATGGATTCTTTTTTAAAAGGTAAAACTCCTGTACAATATAGTTTTACTGTTTCTACAAAAAACAGGAATCTCTCTTCCAAGAAATTACTTGTGCAAGTTAAGAAAATTAGTGAGTCCAAAATTAAACATGTTATTGCTTGAAATGTTACTAAATGTATTATACACAGTATGAAAAGATGTACAAGTAAGTTTATAAAATTTGAAAATATGTATATTAAATAATAAGATAAAAACTAATAAAAGATATAAAAGATAATAAAAGATAATACTAATAAAAGATAATACTTTATTCTTTCAAAGCACAAAACGGATTAAACTCTTGTATATGTATAGATGATATAGTGGAACTATCACAATAGATCAAGCAATCTTTATGTATTTCATTATATTTTTGTTTAAATAATCCTAACATTTAAAAAAATGTTTCAAAACACTACTTAGAATTACTAGCTAAATGTGTTTATTCCTGTTAATAAAAAATAAGAAAGTAGCTATAAAAAAATATAATTATCGCTTATCAATCATTTGAAAATATGATGCACGGTGTCTGTGGATGTGTGTGCGCGCGCGTGTGTGTGTGTACTCCCATTTTTCTCTTATTTTATATTTCTTATTTCTACCTTGTATTATTTATAATGTTCCTTATATTTTCATTAAATTTATCACTTATTTGTTATTTGCACTCACATTATTTTTTAATCAACAATCATCTGCTCCGTTTGATCAGAACTCGTTTCCAACACCTCAGTCGTTCCATTCGCTTGACCTGTTATCCCAACTGTTCCTGCAGAATTCACTTCCGACATTCTCATAGTCATCATTTGCTCCGTTACTATTCTTGTCGTTGATTCTGTCATCGACAATTCTTCGGTAGGTCTATATTCTATCAGAGTATTTCCTTCGTTTTGTCTATTCGTCATTCTCAGCGTGATATTTGTGGGAATCGTCGGTAACTCCGTCAACACGTTTATGCAATTGTAATTGATCTGCCACAGCTGTTTTTTGGCGTAAATGTCTAGACGAAGGCAAGCCGTGATGGATCTGAGTAGAAAGAAGGATTTGAATAACAGAAGTCGCAAGCTAAATTGAAAAATAAATGCCCAGACAGAGCAAACTTTATAACAGATTTGTTAAATATTAGATGCGCAAATAAATTCGGTGCCTTTATCTTTAATCAATTATAACTTCAGTTTAAATTCAAATTTCTTCCCGTCGTTTAGCGCGTTTTGAAGTGCCAATTTTAAGGTTTAAAATGCGCTAATAGCTTGACGAAGCAGACACCATAACCTATGGACATAGACTCATATTCTGAGTTCTCTTTTAACGATAAATGAACCTCTAAAAGTGGCTTATAAGCTTTCTGATTGGCTATGAGTCATTTTTAGAGGCTCATTTATCGTTAAAAGAGAACTCAGAATACGGGCCATAGTATACATGGACTCCGAACGCCCTTCGTTCTGTCGTCTAATTGAGTGAAGGCTACTAGAAAAGGAGCGAGAATACAGGGGATAGAGTTTTCTCTCTATTTTATCACTTTTTTGTTGCGCGTGCATCTATTTCTCGTTTCCATAATATTACAGAGCGCACCAGTACCCCGACTAGACCGGCAAGCAAAAGTCTTATTAAAATCTTATTGCACACTTTATCTGTGCAGAAAGAAACAGAGGACAGAAGGGCTGATGTACATGTTGGCTTCACTTTTCTGACTATACAGGGTGTTCAAAAAGTCCCGGACCGGTGAAATATCTCGAAAACTAAGCATTTTAGAAAAAAATGTTTCAGATAAAAGTTGTGGCGTTTAAAAAGATGTATTTACTGATCACATCAGTTTGACCTT